TGCCACTGGCCTGAGACAAAAATCAGGTCCAGCGTGTGTCCACCCGTGTGAGTGGGGGCCTGTATTAATTGGGTCAAGTCCAAGGCCGTCATGGAAGCCAAGAACTCCTGAGCTGCCGCTGACGTCTCCCCCACTGATGGCAGGTTGAAATCCCCCAAGACCATAAGTCTGGGGGTCCCAACCGCCACCCCGGCTATGAATAATAGCTAACTCCTGTGGTAATGCTGCTGCTACAAGCACTTCTTCTGTCAACTTTACATGAGCCAACTCTTTCCCTTTACTATTAATCAATCCTCGTTCTTCCCAGGTCTTTTCAAAAGTGTGCACTACTCCAAAAGCATACTTTGAATCAGTGTATATAATCCCTCTCTGTTTCTCCAACAATTTTAAAGTTTGATTTAATGCATACAATTCACAAGTCTGTGCAGACCAACTTAAAAGCAACTTTTCTGCTTCCACCAAAACTTCTCTTCCTTCTATTATTGCATATCCATTCCTTCCCTTCCCTTCCCTTCTACCACTCTGGAGGAACCATCTCTGATACTCCTTCTAAATCTCCTCTTAAAAATTGAGTTGGATTCAAGCTAACATCAGTAGTCAATATTAAATCATTTTGTTCCATAAGTATACTCTCATATTTTAAAACCTTGAATCTGTCAGCCATCGGTTGGCTTTCTGGTTCAAGATCGCCTACACTTTTTTTTAAAGAAATGTTATATTAATTTTTAGAATAACAATCCTTAGTGCCTAGTGCAGGGCTTTTCAACCTTTTCACTGATTGTACCACTTTTAGGATATGGCAGTATTAGAGTACTACCAGTCGCCTAGCAAGGTATTGAAAACTTGATGAACAAAAAAAAAGGAAAAATGTGATAAAGTACAGGTAATCCTCGACTTACAATAGCTTGCTTAGTGATTGTTTGAAGTTAGAACGGCTTTGAAAGAAGTGACTTATGACCATTTTTCACACTTATGACTGTTGCAGCATCCCCAGGATCATGTGATTTACATTTGTATGCTTGGCAACTGATTCATATTTATAAAGGTCACAGTGTCCCAAAGTCATGTGATCCCTTTTGCAACCTTTTGACAAGCAGAATAAATGGCGGGGAGGCGTGGCCAGCTCAACATCACTCAGGTCGGGGGCACCTGTGGGGGTGCAGGGGGCTAGGGGGGAACTAGGAGCTTCCCGTGCAGGGGGATGGGACTGGGGTGGGCACCAGGACATGGTCCACTGGAGAAGCCTCGCCGTCCCTCTTGGGCCACATGGGGGACACCAGATGGTGGCATGGACTGCCCGAAGCCCTGGGCAGTGGAGGGCAAGCACCCAGCCTGGCCCTTGAGCTCCCGGGGCACCAGGACCCTGCAGCCCAACCCACTCCAGCCCCACTTCCCCGAGTGGGTGCCCAGCTGCACTTACCTCCTCCTCGACGCTTTTGCTGCTGCTGTGCTTGCACTCCTTTGCCAGCTTGCTCATGGTGGGTGCAGGAGGGCAAAGTGCTTGAGTCAGAGTGAGGCCCATTCCCTCTCCATCCAAGGAGACCCAGCTTTGTAACCAAAGCATTCTTAGCGATACGATGGGAGACCACCATGATAGGCCAGGAGGAGGAGGCAGGGGGATGGCAAAAGGGCAGCAGGGATGCTGGTGGCCAAGTGCTAAGGCAGGACTTCCCTCAGACCCTCCCTGCCTTTCATTCCAATCTCCTTCCTTCCCTGCCTGCCTCCCTGCTCCTCATTCCCATCTCCTTCCTTGCTTCCTTCTTCTTTCCCTCCTTCCTTCCCTGCCTTCTTCCTTCTCATTCCCATGGGTTTTTTTTCCTCCCTCCCTCCGTGCCCAGGAATGGACAAGTGGGGGGGGAGAGGTTGCCAGGGCGGCCAGTGGCCGTGCTGCCAATAGCCATGGCTTGAAAGGCCACTGTAAATTCCTGGACAAGAGCTGCACAACCTTAAGAGCAGAGTGGAGGGAAGATATTTGTGATGAGGGAGGGAGAAAAAATAGGCAAGAAATGCAGCTGGGGAGGTTTCATCCTCCACGAGGAATGAAGAAAGGCACCATCCCCTGAAGGAGACCAGCAAATGACCCTTGCCCACTTCACACACACAGCTCTGTGAGCTCCGGGGGAGGGGACGCTAGGAACAGAGTGATGATGACGCCCAGCCCAGCCCCAGTCTGCCTGGTTTTAACAGGCAGCGGCACACTCTCCTCAATGCGCAGAGAGGCTGGGCTGGGCAAGCTAAAGCTGGTGAGAAGCCGAACCTGCCTGGGTGCGTGCACATTTATTTATTTATTTATTTTATTTATTAAATTTATATACCGCCCTATCTCCCTTACGGGACTCAGGGCGGTGAACATGAGGCCTGGCATCCTGGTTGATTGAAAATTGAGGAAAAACTACTTCCCATCAACCCTGGCAGGACCAGCTATTGCTGCATATATATTTATAATTGTTTTTTGTTTTTTGAATTTTAAGCCACCCAGAATCATTGACTGGCAGCTGTAGAAATTGAATGAATGAATGAATGAATGAATGAATGAATGAATGAATGAATGAACTAACAAATGAAAACACCATAGTCCCTAGTGCTGAATATGTTATTTAGTTGAAGAATGCAAGCAAATAACCAAGCTCAAAGAACACAGGGCTACATAGTTCAACCCTAAGCTACATATATTCTTTTTTGTTGGTATTAAAATTGAGTCTAATAAAACTTTTACTTAGTTCTATTTTGATCTTTGTATGTTCGGTCCAAGAGAGGAATTTTACTACCAGTTCTTTTCATTGCCCCATATGCATTTTTAGTAATTGGGTTGTGGAGGTTTCATTCCAGTTGGAATAAAAATTCTCTAATATTTATTGACCTAAATAGATAAGTTTCAGTGAAAATTTTAGCAGGTTATTTTATATTTCTTCTTTACCTTGACATATACAAAATGCTCCTTTCAGCGGTAATAATGATCATGTTCTTATAATCTGTGAATATGTGTACATCAGAAGAGACTGAAAATATTTTTTTGTACAAGCTGGGGCTGCATTTGTTTCTCACAGCATTGTTGTCCTCTTACATAAAGTTCCATTAATATTTCTAGCTCTTTGCAACAATATAGAGTATTTAATTGCCTGCTTATGGAGTAGGAGATAATTTTTAAGATAGCTTTGCTGATATTTATAGTCTCACACAATACAATATTATTCTAAGTTACATTTGACTCTAAATTCTAAGGATAAAACAAAATTAGACCCAAGAGCTCTTTGAAAGGTAAAATAAGGAGCACAGGAAGTTGGGAGAGGCCCCGAGAAAGCTGCATGTAAGTGTTTCCCTGCTCAGGGTCTGAAAATCCTTTGAGGATTTGGCAGAGGGGGTTTTCAGCTCCTGAACAGGGAGGCAGCATGGTAATATAAGAACCACAGGGTGCCTCAGGGGAGTTGGGAGGCCCATAACAGACTGCAAATGAGTGTCTCTTTGCTGAGAGGCTGAAAATCCTGCGTATTTTTCAGCTCCTGAACAGAGATGGCCTGCACCAGACCTCCCAGGTACTTTCCCACCCTCCTGAGGCAACCTCCACTCTTTATCTTAGTTTTCACTTAATGACCTGTGAGATCACTTAACCGCAACTGGGATTGTGCTTGTTGACTGAAACAGTCGCATGATATCTCAGTTAACAATGTACATGATTCCAGTTCCAATTTTGATTGTAAATTGAGGGTTACCAGTACGATTGTTCCTTATCCACAGGATATGCACAGATTACTCCCCTTGGGCGTAATCATCTCCAGTTTAAAAATCATTGGTTTAGATAATATGCTCATGTATTAATATTTTTATCTTTTAAAAATGGTTGGTGGGTAAATTACAACTATTGATAGGTAAATTCAGTGGTGGAATTCAGCCGGTTCGCACCACTTCGGCAGACCGGTAGCTAATTTATTGTTTCCCAGGTCCAGAATGGACTTCCGGAAAAGGCATCCACACAGAGAACCGGTTGTTCACATATTTGAATCCTACCACTGGGTAAATTACAACTATAATTACTACAATATAGTTTAAACCTTTCTGTACATCACCTATGGTTTAGCCTTATGGATTGATTTTGATGTAGGTACGTTATTTACATTTTGTAACTAAAATTTATCTGGTTTGTTTCTGTAGGGTGTACCTCAATTACCTTGTGCCAAAGCATTATATAACTATGAGGGGAAAGAGTCTGGAGATCTTAAATTCAACAAAGGTGACATCATCATATTACGTCGGCAAGTTGATGAAAATTGGTATCATGGAGAAGTCAATGGTATCCATGGATTTTTTCCTACCAATTTTGTCCAGATAATTAAACCATTACCTCAGCCTCAACCTCAGTGCAAAGCACTTTATGATTTTGAAGTTAAAGATAAGGAAGCTGACAAGGATTGTTTACCCTTTTCAAAGGTAAAAATTTATAGTTATGTTTTCATAATCTCAGCAATGTTGAAATACTTGTTAGCCTACAAGTTTACCATGTGTCAAATGTTATAATTTTTCAACTTTTTTCCTAAAGAAAATCAAAGTTATATTCTTAACATATTTTAAATTAAAAATATAACTTTAAATTATCTTAGAGAAATAGTATTTGAACCTCATCTTCCATTTCCAAGGTTAGCACTCTTGTACATGTTGATAATTCAAGATAAATTAGAATTTGTGATATATTTTTGTGAAAATATATAAATATGAAAATAAATATTTACAATATGTCCTTTGCTGTGTACAGTGTATTTTGTTTAGATAAACTGTTAGTTTTCTTGCTAGAATTTTTTCATGGTCCAGGCATAGTTATACCATGAGTCTTTTAGAATCAGTATTGTGTTGGGCCAGGTAGGTTTCTGATTACCGTATTTTTCGCTCTATAAGACGCACCTGACCATAAGACGCACATACGAGGAAAACATGAAAAAAAATATTCTAAAGCAAATGGTGTACTAAAATATTTAATAAACTATAACAGAATAATATTTCAACCATGTTAAGTGAACAGCAGTCAAC